GATACTCTTGATAGGGAGGTCACCTATATAAGTGTGAAGTGTGGGCCGCTTCAAATATAAGCACTTATGAATCCATTGTGTTGTCCATGGCCAAAACGGACACAACGATAGAACGGAATGGAGTTAAGACTCTATTGTGTGAATGTCATTGTCTAGGTGTACACTATGGAGGAATAGTTCAAGGCATTATGTCCACTAGGCCACCAGTACATCCGATGATGTTTACTAAGAAAGGTTCAAAGTCAAAAGCTACCTTTTCTGATGCAATAGAGTTTTATGAGGATTGAGCACAATACCCTATATATTTACACTTTTGTGGGGGAATGTTGGGAAAAGTGTAATTATTGTTGGGGCGGTGCCACATGCAACCGCCCCACTTGAGAAAAAAAAAAATAAAAAAAAATAAAAAAATAAAAAATTTAAAGATTCTCCCATCTTCCTCCACATGTGGAATAATGCTTCCTCCCATCTTCTCAAACTTGCCCACATGTTATGACAACCAATTACTATCATTTAATAAAATAAAATATTCATCCTTTCATCTATAAAAAGACTATTCGGCCAAACGAAGAACGGGCACAAAACAGAAGAGAAAAGGAGAGGAAAGAAAGAGAAAGAGAAAGGAAAGAACGATAGATTTATGTCCAAATATCGGATATAAAAATATCAAAAGAGAAAAAACAAGTGATATTTTTATTTGTTTCAGAATATTTCTTTTATTACTAAGTGCCCAATTCTCGATTCCGTTCCCGTTCGCCGGAGCTCGTAAATCTGGTATGCTACAGATTTAGAGACGATTGCCGTTGTATCTTTGGGGAAGTTACGCCTGAACCGTTAGCAGACACACGGGGCGTATTCTTCTTGCGGAAAGAGTTTTACTCGCCTCGGCTAAAAATCTTTCCGTTTTTCAGTTGTATTTTATTTTTCAGTTCAATTGTAATTTTCTATTTTTAGATTATTTGTAAGAAGTGAAAATTACATATCAGTTCGTAGGATTTCCGTGTAATTTTACACAAAATATCCAACAGTTCTCTTATCTCATCCGGCTACGTTGTATTCACTTTTGTTTATTGAGCTTCCTTTATGGTTCCGAAATAAATAAATAATTAAAAAA